AGTTTGCGATCAATCAGACTTAAACTGTTTTGCGCATTAACAAAATTTGATATTCCGAATTTTCAACCTACTCGGCATAGTAATTACTATTTTCTATTCTATTTCTGGTGTAATCAAAATAATGTTTTCGCACAATGCTGTTTATAGGCTAATTATTAGTTTTAAACAGTTTTCTTTGTAACATATTTCGATAGTTTGGCAATAGGAATGAATTCTGTATCATTATCGATTTGCGAGACTTTTTTGCGATAGACTTTTCCAGTGTTCGTCTTGATTTCAAAAGATCTTTTATTAGGATAAGATAGGCCAGTGACAGATGTTTTTATTTCAATATTGATATTTGAATAAAATTAACATATGTTCATGTTCGTCTAGTTGTCCATTATGCAAAGTAACTTCACATCTTCACATTTGGCAGTTAGGTTATCAAATGCAATGACCAACTATGAATCGTCTGAGCATTTCACATTGAACAGCCTGATATCTAATCAGACAAGATTTTTTGAAAACGCGTTTAAAAGTCCCAATGGTGGCTTCTGTTTAAGCGTTTTCATATCCACTCAGAAAACATAAAAATCAGCTCTGTTCCTCATAAAAGTTGCATGAAGTCGCTTCAAAAAAGGCAACTTTTGCATTTGGAAAAAGTACAAACAAATTTTCCAACAATATTTTGGCATATTTTACAAATCAAAATAACTTTTTTATGCACGGTTGATGTCAAAAATATTGTGAGAAGACTTTGTGAATCGTTTTTAACATGAAAAAGTTGCTCTTTTAAGTGTCCTTATATAACTTCTGTAGCTAATGTAAGTGGTTTCGGTATTTTCTGGATGAACCTGAAGCAGTCAAAAGAGACACTGATCAGAGTTTTTAAACGCATTTTCAGAAATTCTTGTTTGATTGAGTAATAAACAGAACGCGTAGTTGTTTCACTTAATTTTTCATTCCCTGCAAGCTATCTCTAAAAAAAATAAATAAAATGATATCAATCTGAAATTCAGCTGGACATATTAGCCTAGTCATCGTAAGAATTCACTGTGAATTGGAACTAAAACGAAGTTTTATTTCAATAAATTCATGTAGTGAGATATCCGAGGCTACCTGCACACATGTTTCACTGGAAACTTTAGTACTGTACAATTTAGAAAATACAGTCACAAAACTTTTCAAACATGCACATGCCTCTAAGAATTCAATATCTCGAGGAAGTAGCGTACATTTTCGATGAAACGGTCGAAAGATTTCCAGCGTGTCTGAATTCTATTTGCATCCCAGTACTTGATATTGAGACGAATAATTTGATTTTTGTGAACACTTCAACTTACAAATTTCTATATTTACCTGATACCCCTTATCATCATATTGTACGATAGCAGTTAACGTTTACAATATGGTAATACGCAATTCTAACACAGCAGTCACGGTAGTGAGAAAGATTCAGATTGCAAGCAATAAGTGTATTGCACAAATTCAAACAAGTTCTTATCGTCAATAGAAACTGGGAGTGTCTCTTTCTTTGATTGCTCCGAATCATCAAAAAAGACTTTGAATGAAAATTCAAATTTTTTGACGAAGAATGGACTGTTTTGCACCTTGTATTCGAAATCTTTTTTTCTGTTTTGTACGTTATCTATTTGTTTTCAGTGTAGTTATAAAACATTGAGATGCGCTATCTTTTACTATTATTATCTCATTTTAAATATTGAATAGTACTTCTTCATTGTGTTTGTGGTTAATGCGAATATTGATCAATTCACCTTTATCGTCCTTTTAGAAGAATTAGTTCGAAGCAGACATCTTGGTTACACCGCCGATCAACAAGCATATAGAGAGGAGACAATATTACAATTTGGTAAATAGTACAACTATTAAAAACGGCTCATTTAAGAACATTTTACTCACTTTAGACTCATTTTCATTGTTTCTGAGTAGCTTTCATTGAGTATGTGAGTATGTGTTTATTCGAGTCGGATGATTCACATTTGAATCACTGTTCATTTATGTAAAAGAACGATGAAAACTATTTTCCTATTTGATTTGAATGAGCTAAAACATTTGTTAGATTATTGAATTTTGTCTTCATACAGAATTCGTTTTCAATAGGCCTGTGACCGTTAACATGTTGATTCATCCATCTATCTGCCGGATATTGCTCAAATCAAAGAATACTCCGCTGGTGGTAGTCAATGCATCAATATAATTAAGAGCATATTGGATTGTACATGTTGTTGTCCTGCAACATCTCTTATGTTACGTGGCACATTCGGAACAGAATATATCTTTGTAGCCAATAATGAAAAGATCTCCGCTCAAACAAATATTCCAATGATGATCTCACTGAAAAAGAACTAACTTAAATGGCAGATGCACTGCCCATCTTTTCAATTTCTACTATGAACCTTTTAGTGATTTCAATGATTTGCTTTTTCAATAAATGATTGGTAGTCAGAATGAAATCGTGTGTAGAGTTAGTTAGGATAATTGCACATATTCAGGACGAATCAAAGCTCTGACGTTCAAACCAGCAAATTTAAAATAAGACGTGTATATAGCATGCCTGAACTGTGATAATCAAATCTCGAGGTATTTACAATTTCGACAAAAGAAAGAGGAAACATTGGAATTATTCATGTTCAGTTCGGTTATATAGTTTATTGATTTTAAGGATGTAAACTTCTAGATCCTAATAGAAATGTATCAATTAATTCGGATCACACTAGCTCTAATACCTCCTGAAAGTTTTGTATTATGGAACTTGAAAACAAGATGCATTTGGATTCATACAAATCCTTTAATTAACAATAGTTTCACTTTGGTTTGTGTTGAAAACACTAAAGTATACAATATCATATTTCAACAAGTTGTCACATCCCAAATCAGATGATGAATAGTATGAGTAAGTAGCTGAGGAAAGTTCTACTTCCTAACACTACGCCTTGCTGTAATGAAGAGGTTGTTGATGACAAAAGTGAGAGAAGTTTCAGTTGTTCGAGAGTATAATTACATGATCTTGCGATGACTCATCAGTTATTCGTCTGGGTATAAACGAATCGTGCAGAAAAAAATAAACATAAGCTGAGCTTATTTGGTGAACGAATAGTTTTTCTGTCGATATTTTACACATATCATGACGATTGAGTCTTCTGAATCGCTTTGAGAATCTTTTTACGATCGGCTTTCGTCTTTAGAGTTCGATTCAGTTTTTGATAAGCTACAAGCACATATAGGTTTCTTATCGATATCTAATTGGTTAATATTTTTTAGGGCAAATATTGTCTAAAATCGTGATGGGGTGGATGCGAGTGCAGGTAGTAGTAGTATGCTCTTTTCTGACCACCACACTTACCCCATCACAATTTTAGAGTGTTTACTCTCAAAAACTTTTGGCTACTAAAATACCGACAGAAAAGCTATTCGTTCACCATCAGCTCAACTTATGTTTCCTATGTCTAGGTAGTTGATATAAGTATTTGTACATAATGCTCTGCTCTTTGAAATGAGACAATTTACAGCCAGACAAACAAAATTTTTGACAAATCTATTGTGAATATACAGCCATGTCAATGTAATATTAATATGTTGTAGTAATCTGCGAGAGAAGTCATCGACTCGGTACTCAGGTAGATTGAATCTGGCATCAAACCATTCTTCTTCTATACTGCATCAAAATATATAGTGTTTTCAAAAATTCTGAAGTAGGCCGATCGTCTTTTTATGCTCCCTGTCCTTTGAATCGTATCGCCTTGTATTTTTATTACAAATAGAACTCGATTTACCCTAATGGCAAGCATTAATCCGAGGCCGATTAGCCTTAGCGTATTGATGTTAGAATCAAAATACTTTTCTTTTTTGACATCAAATATGGCTTTTATAACACTTCTTTGGTTCATCATTATTTTTAAAACGTTAACATCCATTATTTTATTGGCAAATAAGCCTTCACAGGACTTTAGCGTCTCATAGATAGGAAACTTTAGTCTACTGTAAATCTAACGTACAACAGTGTTTTCATTATTTGGAACGGTTTTCGCATAGAGCAGAGTGTTTACTTCAGAAAATATTACAGCAAATGGCTGAGATTAATTGGAATTACATTTTCCTATTTTTGACGAATCCCACCAACTTTCATGCTGAAGATACCCAAAGATAATTTCATAAATCAGATAATCAACATGAAATTTCTATCGATGATAGTGAGACATCACTGAGCTCTCTACTGATGTATCAAACGTTGTAAGAGACGTTGCTAATGATGCCTTATCACCATCTGAATAAAAAAAATCTATGATGCCTGATCAAAGGTGTGGGTGATACTTGCAAGCAGAATTCATCATACCCTAGATTGGTCGCCAAAATGAGATCGAAGAATTCCCATTTAGTCACTCTTCACCTGGTAGTAAGACTTTTCATGACAATCATAGTGATAATCTAAGATTCAATGTTGATCTATTTCCAACTATTAGTAAACCGAATTGAATCAATTGAAAACTTTTTGAGAAAATAAAAATTTCACCAATCAACTAAATTCATCTTAACCATCGATTATCTTATTTATAAAAAAATCATTTTATCATTTTCATTTGATCTCTCTGTCTGTCCGGGTTTTTTTTTTCTTTAATAATAATAATAGAAGTAGAGAATAGTAGAAGAAAACCAACAACATCAGACAACAAGAAGAAAAAAAATGAACGAACGAAAATGTGTGTATGTGTTTACAGATGATAATAAATGTTAATTAAGCGACGCGCAATCGAAATCAGACGACAACAAAAGAAAAAAGAAGAAAAAACTGCATACACACACTTACACTTTTAAAAAGCTTATAGAGAGAGATCGATGTGCGCGCATTATGAATGATGATGATGATGGTGAATTAAAAAAAAAAAAGAAAAACCTTTATGTTGGGAAGGGACAAGAAAGAAGATATATAATATATACACATGGCGCACACGAGAGATATTTGGGTTTTTTTTTCTTATTTTGGCTTTTCTTCGAATGTTTTACATGGGTACTTTATCAATGTCATCTCGTTGTTCTGGTCGATTATTAACCATAAAACCAAGTTGTTTGACGTCGATCTTTTGTCCTTTCATTTTTTTAGCTTTTTTCTTTTGTCCATTACTTGATGCTAATTGAAAACCTTCATCACCACCATTACCAGAATTTGTATTCGATGATGTTGGTGCCATAGCTAATTCATGTAAACGTTCATTATCTAATTCCGGCTAAATAGAAAAAAAAAAGAAAAAAAGAAAAAATAATTTAATTATTCTTATAATAAATGATATACTTCAGCATTTGCTAATTGTTTACGTTTTGCAATAAAGTCATTAGCAAATTCTTTAGCTTTTATAACCGAACCTATATATGGTTGAACATATTCGACAATTTCTTCCGAACTATCGATATCTTTCAATAATTGAACAAGTGTTGGAACTTGAACAAATGAGAAAGAAAAAAGAAACGATATTTGAAAAAAAAATTCGAATTGTTTTTTATTTACCATCAATAGCTTGTAAATTATCTTTAAATTGTGTTTGTGTCCATTTTGATAGTGCATCTTGTGTACGTGTTGTTGTAAATAAATACTTTGCTTCACGTTCACTTTTTGATAATTCAACATTTACTGGATTTATTTTTGTTGTTGTTGATGATGGTACTGCAGCTGATTTTAATTCAGTCCATGGTGTTCTATTAAAATAAAAAATTTAATAATAGAAAAAAAAATCAATATTAAAAAGAAACAGAAAAATCAAAATAAATTTGATACATACGATGGTTTAGTATTACTAGTTGCAGCAGGTTTTGTTGATAACGAACTATGTTGATTATCTCCCCAAAAGATTGATGATGAAGATGGTGTAGAATGTTGAAAAATACCACCCCATGCTGGTGTTGATTGACCAGAAGAACTTGAAAGTGTTTGTTGTTGTTGTTGTTGTTGTTGTTGTTGAGTTTGTTGTTTTGCTTCATTCTAAAATAGAATTAGAACGAATATAACAGGTGGTAGTTCGATCTCTGTGAGATTAAAATGTGTAACAAAATACAGCTGTTCTTGTTTATTACAGAACGATTGTTTTATTCGTTCTATTTTGAGATACATTTCTTCACCATCCTTTTACCTTATCCTTCAAAAATACAATAAGGAAATAGTTCATATATTATAACAAGACATTATTCACATACAGTGTGTGATGTAGAAAGCTACAGGTCCTTCCAAACCTGAATCCATAGAAACGTGGATCCGCAAGTTCCTACTTGTTTGATCTTGTTTACATATATATAACTGAAGATTTTTAATGTTGAATTTTGTTTATCGATTAATTGTTCAATTTCTTTTTTTTTTTTTGTTGACATAATGCTCTCTTCATCTAAGGAGAAACTTTTAATTCATTAAGCATCGAATGATGAGAAAGTGAACAACCAGAAATAACTATACGCTGACTTTTCTTTGAAAGTCATTTATAAATAGTTAAAACCCTGATCCTTTTTTTATTCATGTACACAAAGGGTACTAGATAATAGTGGAAAAAAATGCAAGTGTGGGCCCCACCAGATCCGGATCCACAAAAGATATGCACTCGCAACTTCCTACTGTGATGGTGTCTGTCACGGTCTATGAGTTGACCTAAATTTTTACTCCAATAATTCAACACACTCCTTTTAGATCGTTTTTCACAAATAAAGAAAGTAAAAATCTTTTTATTTTACTTGAGACTGTTGTTGTTGTTGTCGTTGAATATCTTGAAGTGATGTATTCGGTGCATTGTTGGCTGCATTCCATGGTACTGATTGTTGATTTGCAGTTGATCGAGATTTTGGCTACATACAAAAAGAAAAATTTTTTTTTTCAAGTTTTTTTTTCTTAAAAGATCTATTGAACATAAAATAAATTCGAGAAATAAAATCATGCAATAATATTACACCACAACATACATGAATATTTAAAAGAGAAAGTACCGCATTTGTTGCTTGTTGATTGTATGATGTTATTGGTGAATCAGGCAATGTATTCTCGTTGGTTTCATGATCTGATGAAATATTATTATTATTATTATTATTATTATTACCAGTAAATAATGTTCGAGCCCATGAACCAGGTTTATTTGATGATGATGGTGAATTTGGAGTATTTAAACTTTCATTTTTAGCCTAATTAAATAGAAATATTATAATCTATTTAAATAATTGTCGATTTCTTTTACAGATGAATGAAGAATATAGAAATTAGATGCAAAATTTCCGGTAAGAAAAAAAAATAACAATTAAAAAAGTAAATGAATGATTTTTGAAAGTCACTTAAATAGGATTTCCTTAGAGACTTATAAGTACTATTTTTGCTATTGATATTTTGAAATGTCAAAATGTACTTTAGAACATCTGAACATACAATATGCTGAGCAGCAATAGCTGCTTCTCGGGTACGTCTCTCTTCTTCTTGTTCTTGTTTTTGAATTTCAGCAAAATTTAATGTTTGAATTTGATCATTATTATGTGATGGATGTCGAGCCCAATTTGCTGTTTCTGGTAATTTAAATGTTGGTTGTTGTGGTTGAACTTGTTCTCGAACTTGTGGTTGAGCTTGTTCTCGAACTTGTTGATAGCGTCGAACATTTTCTGCTCTACAAAAATGAAAAAAACCGATTAATATATAATAATGAAAGTAAATCTACTTTTGTGCTTCAATTTTAGCTTGTTGTTCTTTTTGAAATTGAAGTGATTGTTGAAAAGCTAAAAATGGATCAATTTCAACTTTTGATTGTGATTTAATTGGCTGTTGTTGTTGCTGTTGCTGTTTTTTCTGGTCCATTGTTTTAGTCATTTCTTTCATTTGATCAAATATAATTTGTTTATTAATAGTTGTTTCATTTTTTTTACGTAATTCTTCTTCAAATTTTTGTTTTTGTTCTAATTGACGACGTTCTTCTTCTTCACGTTGTAAACGTAATTGTTCTGCTTGTTGTGCTAATTTTAAACGTTCTAATTCAAGTTCACGTCGTTGTTGTTCAATACGACGTTGTTCTTCAACTTTTTCTTGTTGTTGTTGTCCATGATTTTGCATTGCTTGCGCAAGACGCGTCATTATATCATCTGGTTTTTGAGATTGTGAAATCGGTACATTTGTACCAAAAAATGATGTTGTTGATGATGATGAGGTATTTGGTTGTGATGATATTTGACGAAATGAATGATGATGTAGTTCATCGAATACTGGTTGTTGTTGTTGATTTGTTGCCGATATACTTCGTTGTAATTGTGGTTGTTGTTGATAGACTATTGCAGGATCATTAACTAAATTTGATGAAAAAAGAGATGAAGATGATTGGGATAGTTGCTGCTGCTGTTGTTGTTGTTGTTGTTGTTGTTGAGAAGCAAAATATGCTTGTAATTGAGAATTTATTATTGTTGGAGATGTAACTGGTTTTCGATCAACTGTTGGTAAAGGCATTGATGTTTGTCTATGAAGAATATTGTGATATTAGAGCGATTTTTTTTGTAAAAAAGAAAAGCATAATGGTTAAAAACTTTTCAATAATTCTTTTAGGAGATGTACAGTTTCAGTTTACTGACCATCGCTGATTTATTGTAGTGAATACATGCCGATATTAGTATTGACTGAAACAATGGAACACACTGTTACAAAAAAGATGAGCACATTTTGATAGAGTTAGTATCTCAATGTAGTCAATGCCTATTTTCCACATCCCTAGATGTAATATATATATTAGAGAAGCATGTTAAATACATCAACTTCTAGTCTTAAATTCTATCTTGTCTCAAACTGAACCAACTCGAAATCAATTCATGTACAGAAGAAATATAATTATTTGCAACTTTTTTTGCGGCAATCAAAAGTTTTGAATAGAAGATTCGTCTTAAAATCAAGAAAAATAACTTTTGATTTGAACTGTTGACTCCTATGCAAGATACTGATGAGAGAACTACGCCGGTTGAGTTTATATTGGACTCCCAGGCAGGTCTTACTGAGAATAGCAAAAGCCTAAAAGAGTTCGACCCCATAGATCCTTGCCACCAAAATCGAGTTCACTTGAAAATTTAACAACTCAATAAAAGAACACTGTTTTGATTGAAACTTTCAGAATATTCTAATGTAGTCGAAATTTTGTATTAGAACTTCATTACTCCGTCTTTCAAGAAGAATCTAAAATGAATCAAAAAAAAAGTAAATCGTTCATAACTCAGCATCAAAGGCTAATACGGACGAACTCTTTTAGGCTTTTGCTATTCTCACTGAAACTTGTCTATGGATTCAATGAGTTCAAACGACGAGTGTCAGTTGGAGTAGTTCCCTTGTGCGTACGTTGTGTCATGCACGTGTTCCTGTGATTCGTTAGTATGTATGAAGCGCTTAAACGATTGAGAGAAAAAACTATGCGTCAAACTGATCTTCTGCCTAAAGCTACAGATAGTATTAGTTGTACGAAAGATATCGAGCTAAGAAATCTCTCGCAAGGCAGAGTATTCTTTTTTCTTGATGGAAAAATTTTTAGTTTCTCGTAACAATACCTATTAAATAATGACTGTTGAAGATTTTGTCTTGACTGTTGTTGTTTTTGCATTAAATACTCATCAATATAAGCATTGTTTGCTGTTGATGATGTTGCATACATCATAGAATTAAATTTTTGTGCTTCAGATACAATTGGCTGTTGTTGCACAGGTGGTGAAAGTGTTGATGAATCAGTACGAAATGGTAAGCGACCTAATTCTTTTGTTAATTGTTGTATAGTTGAAAATTGTGTTTCACCCAAACGTTTAACGGGTAAAAGTATAGTAAAATATCCAGCTGTAAACCAACGGTCCATATCAGCTGATGAAAATGGACCTTGTACTGTATTTTGTGGATCTTTATAAAACCATTGTTTATCATCAATAATTACAGGTGGTTGTACACGTTGTTGTGGAATAATTGGTACAACAGCAGGTGGAGTTGGTTCTATTGAAATAGGATGAGGAGTTGTATGAGTAGATGTTGGTGGAGAATAATCATGATCCTAAAGAAAAATCAATAGATTTTATACACGAAAAAAGAAGAAATTTAATACTTCAGCAAGGGTTGATTCAACTACAGTTGTTGCTACATCACTCGGCTCATATTCATCATCCCATGTTGAAAGAGTATGTTGGCCAGAAGGTATTGGTTTAGGTTCTAGTATATTTAAACGAAAAAGATTCGGATAGAAATAAAATAAGATAAAATAATCTACCAAGAATTTCCGATTTTGTTGGAACATTAACAAAACTTGCATCTATTTGTGGTGATGGTGATTTTTCACGTTTATTCTCATCTTGCGATTTTGATGATTGCTTTTTAAAAAAAAGAAATAAAATATGATTAAATATAGAATTTAAAAAAAGTTTTCAATAACTTACAGCATTTACATTTGATGATGTATCATCAGTTGTAGTTTGAACTTTTTGTTGTTGTTCATTATTATCAGTATTTTGTTGTTTTGACGATGTACCAGTAAATGGCTCATCTGTTTCATATGTTGCACTATTCAATTGATTATCATTATCATTATTATCATTCATCCATTCAGGCATTCCTAAGTAAAAAAAAAAAAAAAGTTGATTTTGTTTTTAGAATTAGTTTCTATAAAATAATTTTACGTTCTCGTTTTGCTTGTGGACGACGTAAATTAAGATCACGATCAGACATTGTTGTATTCGATCGCCATCCACGTGTTTGATTTGACTCATAGCTATTTGACGGACCTAATTGTTTTGCAAGAAAAAAAAAACATGTTAAATTTTTATATCTCGAAGATTATTATTTATTTTTGTACCAGGCCGATCATCTGTATGACTCCATTTATCATTGGACTTAGTACGATGTTCCATTGGCCCACTACCACCACCTCCTCGTCTTGTTTGTCCACCACGAGATGTCCAAGAAGTAGAAGCATTTGCAGATGTTGATGAATCTTCATTTTGATCATGATTTTCATCATCATCACCTCGTGATCGACGCCACGCTTCAGTTGTTTGGCGTGTACCACCACCACGACGAAATGATTGAGATTGTTCACTAAATAGAAATTCTTAGATAATTTCTTATGAGAGATGTCAGGGTTGCAAAGGCCATAAGTCCGTCTCGCAAAACTCTATATCATTACGAGATTTTTGCATACAAAGAATAATCACAACGTGAGGTTTTTCTATTAGAAATTGCAAAAGTTGGATTTAATAAAAGTACTAACAAACAACAAAGAATACTTCAAAATCTACACTAAAAATCAATCGAATTCGAGGTTTAATCCATTTGGAAATCTTCTAATAGAAGATTTCTTATACTCACCGATCATCATAAGACCGTACTCGATTGCTAAACGCTCCACCACCACGTGAATGATAACCACCACGTGACCATGATGATGATGGCCCTGATGTATCATCGCCGACACTACCTCCTACAGTTTCTCCATTATCTTCCGTATTATTATTCCCACGAGTTGATCCAAACGCATGATCACGTCCACCTATAGAAAAAAACAAAATAATTTATTATTTATGTTGTCTTAAAGTGAAAACACGAAATATTCGTTTTTTTACCTCTGCCTCTCGATCCACTACCACGTCCATTTGGCATTAAACCTCCGCCACGATTAGTTCGTGTATCATGCTGTTGTTGTTGTGATTGTTGTGAATTACTTCCACCTCGACCACCACCACCACCTGGTGTTCGACCAGAAATATAACTTGATAAAGAGTTCATTTTTGCCTAATCAATATTAGTTTCAATAAAAACAAAAAGAAAAATCAAAGCTTCATCATTTACCGTTTCTTCGGCTGTTGGTGTAGTTAATGTTAATGGTTCAATTATATTTGGACGAAAAATACTTTCAACGTCTTTTAAATTTTCCATTATTTCATTTCGTACATCTGCCGATAAACGTTCAGTTACATTAGAACGTAATGCTAAGATTTCATCTTTTGAATAACGATATTTTGTTGCTGAAAATTTAAATATGTTTCCACTACCATTACCACTTGATGATGGAATAGATGTTGTAGATTCAGGTGTTGATAAAGCTCGAAGCCTATTTATAATTAGAAAAAGAACATAATGAATACGCAAGATAAATCTATATCAAACCATTCTGGTCCAAAATTTAATGGTTGTGTTGTATGTTGAGCGACAGTTGTTGAACTCATTTTATTTTGTTTTGTGTTAGTTTTCGAAACTAAAATCGATAATCGTTTGAAAAAAGAATAAGCGATGCAAAATCTTAAATAATTTACAAATAAATAAACAAATGCGATAATAATAATATTTAAGATTAAGAAATTTTAATTTATTAATTTATTAGAATAGAAAAACAAAGCAAAGAAAAACAAACAACATTAATTTGATCCGAGAAAAAAACTGGTGATGTATGGCATAGTTTTTCTTTCGACTTCTCCGTTTTTTGTTTTGCTTGTCATATAGTTTATTTACCACTTAAACATGAGAATCCATAGTTTACTTCGATAACGGATTTTATTTGGTCGAATAGGAATGTAAGAACAATGAATAAACACATACGTAAAGGAGAAATAGTGAAGGTGACTTAACGAAAGGGGTCGCCTTCGAACAGGTTTTTTTGTTTTTTTTTACTATTACATGACAAATTTTAATTATTATAAAAAACGAATATATTCATTTGCTTTGAATTATATTTGAAAATACGAAGAACTCTTGAAAAATAGTTCCTTCCGATAGTGGCGTTACCAGAAAAAAAAATTGTAGGTGAAGGCGGAAACTGTCTGATAATGATTCGAGAAGAAGCTTATGCCTTTTTTTAAGCAAAACTCTATTGTTTGTATCGGAGGGAGCTAAACCTCCCTCCTATCTGGTTATGCCACGTCGATCCGATATGTTATTTTTGTCTTCATTAAATATGAATGGATTATCTAATTTAAAAAATCAAAAAAGTTTTTACTTCGAAAATCTTTTTCAACAATAATAAATAACTAAAGATGAGATGCCATCTTCAATAATGATCAACATGTTAATTGTTTATTTGCCTTGTGTAGAAAAAGAACAATAAACATTTGTGAGATTTGATAGGTCTTCTCCGTCTCCTAGCGATGCTATCTTTTTTTTTGCAGTTAAATCAGTAAAAATGAAAAATTGCTGTATTTTAAAACCATTTTTATATGTAATTATTTTTTTTATTATTATTGAAATGAAATAGAAATTATCACTTAACTCAATAATAAAGAATTCGAAATCTGTATAGACTCCTAAACAACTATGTGAAGTATGTTGAGGTTTCTAAAAAATTAAATGTTTCATTCAGTGAAAGAATGTATCAAAGAAGGCAATACTAAATAAACCACAAATTTCGAAACTTACTTAAAAATCTAATGAGAAAGTTTTGAGTGAATTATGAAAATAACCATTACGAGTTTATTCTAAGACGACTTCCATAAATACCATTTTCGCAACAGCAAATCGCTCGCTTTTTGTTCAACAACACAACTCTATAAACATCATTTGGAAATTTCTGAAATTTACTGGAAATTTTCGGTAAATACTAAAATTACTATCATTAGTGTATATAGATATCAATACACTTATTTTTATCGAAAAGTAGACTACATTTCGATATATTAGTAATTTTAAGAGGCATAGAGAAATTTCATAAATTACTTACACTTCGCAAGGTAGTTGTTCTGTTTTCAATGATAAAGTACATCGACATACATATAAAAAAATATTTCGTAATTTCAGTATCTACTGAAACTTTTTAGTAATATACGAAATGTTTGAGAAATAACTCGAATTACTAATAAAGTGAAGAGTAGATTCTTGTTTTTCGTTGGAAAATACATTGGTAATATACATAAAATGGTAATCGTTTTATCTACTGAAGTTCGCTAACAGTTAGCCTAATTGAATTTGCTATATGTGTAAAGTTTTGGATCAATATTCGACAATACGAATTTTTTGGAAACCTAGAGTTTGTAAAAAACAGACATATGAAGAAATCAATAGCTTAGGTTAACCCTAATTCTATTGTTGTGAGAGAAATTATAGTAAATCTAGAACTTTCTTGCTGATAAGATTTTTCTGTGGGAGAATTTTTTAAAACTTGATTTTTCATGAGAGACGTTTACTTTTCTTTTGAGTATCTGAATACTAATGTTTGGTAAGCAGTTTTAGGATCGTATTGCACTGTATCATAAACTGTTCGATATTCGATTTTTAGACTGTTACCAATAGTATGCGGTTAGATAAAATACTTTTGTAATACCACGCATACCAAACTTTAATGTACAGCTATTTACGAATCATTGTATTTCTTAGAGTTTAGTCGTTGACGATCATATTTGTTCAAAGAGAGTACTTGAAGATTTGCAAAGATATAATATGTCAAAGAACTTTTTTGATGTGACGGGGCGGATACTTAACGAATCGATGGGGGAGAAGGCAGTGGCGAAATGCCTTTTTATCTTCTGTGAGTGTTTGGTACATAACTCAATAAAATTCCTGAATTAATTCTGTAAAAGAAAAACAGCACGAAGAATTTTGAACAAAATTAAATACTTTCTATTGATTGTTTATTGCCGGAGTTGGATTGACTTTACCGATTGAATAAAAGTCGTTGGAAAGTAATTAGCTTTAGTTTAAAGAGTAAAACAGACTCGTACATATTCTTTTTTCTTGAGAATCAAATCCGACTCTGAACAGCCACTAAAGTTATTAATATCGCACGACGATAAAAATAAATGATTGATTTCTTTTCATAAGTCTTATTCAGCAAACAAAATTCTTTTCAGGTATTGCGAAACATTTTCCCAAAACTATAAAAACAATAATTTTTTCTAAATTGTCTTACTCTTCAATAATAAATTCAATTTTAATCTAAATCACGTCTTACAATAGTTTTTCATCATGATGCATAGAAATTTAAAAAAAAAAAAGGTTCTTGAAATTGAAAACAGGAGCATCTTTCTTTTTCTTTGTTATGATCAAAAGCAAAAGTGACATAAGTTTAAGATCAAACAGAGTAAAGAAAGAGTTTTATGCTGATTACTAATAGGACGAAAAAAGAATAAGAGCTAAGGGAAATAAAGAGAAAAAAAAGGAGAGTTCATCTATTATACATGAAGATAATTAACCATCCCAATTATAAATTTGTCCCGGTACACGAGGTTGGCTACGAGTCTTCTGTTCTTTATTTTTAGCTGCCAATAAATTAGCAGTTTGTTTTTCAGCTTCCGTAATTGATACAAATTGTGAAGTATTTGATGTAACATTAACATTTTGCTGTTGTGTTGCTTGTGTAGTCATTCCAGCTGTTAATTGTCTATAGTATTTCATAATTAAGTATCGATTAACAGCAAACGAAATGAAATTCTTACGGTTGTGCAGCACTACTTGCAAGAAATTGTTGATTAGTTGTATTTGAAAAAAGAACTTGAGGAGGTCCAACTAGACGACGAGCGTCACGCTCAAAATAATAATTTTGACTTAATTTATGAGCAAAACCAGTTGGTAAAAGTGGTGGTGGTTGTGTTCTAAAGAAAAAAGAAATCAAAAATATAATAATAGAAATAAAATTAATTTCATTTATTCATTACCGTTGAGACCATTCAAATTCATGTCGTTGATTAGGTGTAAAAACTCTCTATAAAACGAAAAAAAAAAAGAACTTTGTTTCGTATCTCTTTGAAAATCATATAAAATCTACTCATACAAGCATAAGAAATTGACGTAGAGGAGCAAGCCATTTATTAATATCACGCTTAACAACTGGTACAGCTTTTTCTGCAACTTGTTTTACTTTTGAACTCATTATGAATATTAAAATGAAATCTAAAAAAATGTTTTTGTGTCTTTACTAAGTTATCAAACATAATGGACGGAAAAATTATTTTTTATTTAAAAAACAATTATTTGACATTAAGATGGAAGAAAATGATCATGTAAACTTGTTTTTTGTTTAATATCCTTTGAACAAAAAAAAAAAAAGATAAAAGATTATATTATTTTGTTCATGATGCATTTTAAATAACCAAACAAACTTTATTTTCAGATGGAAATGTTGAGAATTGCTGAAGAGGTTTTTCATGTAACATATATTGATCAAGTTTATCATAAATTTTTAAAAAATACCGTTGAACTATTTCATTAACAGCATCACATGGTAAATGCATTAATTCTAAAATGAATTTTACTTTAAAAAAATTAAATTGATAAAATAAAATAATAACATACGTGTTTCAAATGATTCTTCATTATTATTATTTTCAATAAATTTTTCTGTTGGTTTTCGATGTATAAGTAATAAACGTTCGAGTTGTCGATAAATATCAATAACACATTGACGTAATTGATCATTTTCAATCATTAATAAACGATGTTTTTGATCATAATCATGACAAATTTTTTTTAATAAGATTCTTTTAAAAAAAAAAATATGTAATCGAAATTCCATTAGGTTTATTTAGACATACTCAGAAGAAGATGATGACGATGACGGAATTGATTCATTTAATAATAATGGAGATGAATAATCTATTGTTGAAGGTGTCGATCTAAAAAAAAAACGTCATCTGTATATTTGTTTGAATTAAATATATCAAAGTATGAGTTTTTGAATTTAATATGCGATAGTATGTATAGTTTAAGATGGAAATCTAGTCTGATAAATTGATATGGCTGATTTATATGAAGTTTCATCTTATGAAGAAACAATACCAGGTGATCCGCTATGCTTATCCCAATATGTGGAAGATCACTACAATAGTGTAATTTCCAAAGAATTACTGCTTATGTTTAGATTTGGTCAATATAACGAATTTTTAATCAATTCTTCTTACCGGAGTCCAGCTTTTCGATCTGAAAATTTGTACACATGAAGGTCTTGATTAGACTATCATCATAAAGAAAAGCGTAGATATATTGAGAAACTTATGTCTTAGTAATGTGATATCGAAAATGGATGAAACATTATACATGAGATGGTGTAATCAAAACCTTCATGTGTACAAAGTTTCAGATCGAAAAAATGGACTCCGACAAGAGGAACCATTAAAAATTTGCTATCTTGACGAAATCTAAATATGAGCAGGAACCCTTGAAAGGTTGTGCTATTGCAGTGGTCTCCTACTTCTGAAAACAAATGGAATGAATCATCTGGAAATGTTCTCTCGTAAGAAATGAA